CGGGGTAATTTGGCCAGTCCTGCATGTCTCTTTTCCGGGGAGAAATTACCCACGGGAAAAGTTGCCCCAGACTGTTACAATAAATAGGGTCGAAAAACGATGAGCTTATACATACAGCGGCAGCTACGTGCACATCAAAAAGATGGCTGGTACGAATGGTACAGCCCTTCGTCATTCTGACAACCGGGTGGTGGTGATGCAGTGGTGGGCGTTGCTTGGCCCGACGGTGGTTGGTGAGTGCCCAGATGCAGCTCCGCTGGCAGGATAGAGGAGAGGAACAAGTTTTGCTGATGAAATGAGTGAACTTACTTATGTTGGAGGTGTTTTTTTTGCAGCTCAAGTGGCAGTTTGGGGGAGAATGAAGGTGGATTATCAAATATTCAAAGGGTGGCAGACAAAAATTTCGGGTATTCGAAACTATAACGATCTGCCCGAGAAATGCCGAGCATTCATTGAATACATCGAAAACTATGTTGAAGTGCCAGTGACGTGGATTGGTGTTGGTGAAGAAAGAGAAGCACTGATTGTGCGTTGATTAGACATAGTGCAGCCCTTTTTTTTCAACCATTCCTATTTTCTTGCCTCTGAAAGTTGTGCTGGTTGCAGTTTACATTTTATTCTTCTCTACATCAGAATTATGCATTTTTCGTACTGGATATGTCAAGTGTAACTCAAAAATGACTGTGCGTTTATGTCTGTTGTTGGTGCTAGCCCGGATTCATTATTATCGCGGGAAATGTATCTTTGCAATCCTCGTATTTTCTTCATTGTTACAACACTCATACAACACAATCCTTTTATTCGCTGCTGGCATGTGGACAGTGAATTCTGAGACAGGTGACTGGGAATACAGTTGTTGTTGAGTGGAAAGCCTTCATCGTTTTTGTCCCGAAGATAAAAGTATTCAAAAGTGTCTCGAGTGGTAGCACAGTACCAGCAGATGACGATGACTAGCTCTCGCAAGGACTGCTTGAGAAGCAAGCTGATGGCAATTTTCTCTTCGTGGCATGCAGCACTACCAAAAAATTCTCGAAATAATCGGATTTCCGGCAACACACACACATGCGAATGGACTCATCGGCCCGGAAGAGTTACGTCCAGCGTGCAAAAGCATAACGCGCAACCGCGAAAACAACTTTCTGAATAATCTTGCTACTTAGGTTACGAAAGATGGGACGGAAATGGCAAAAAGTGGTGCGAGGGGAACTCGTAGCATTATAATATGCACAGTATCGCCATTTACAAAAACACTTTATCACCAAGCACTGTCATAAAACGCCTTACATACAATAAATTTAACAAAACTTTACATACAAAGTAAGCTTTACATGAGAAATTAAAGATCACTATAAGGCGAGATCACCATAATACGTAACCAAATCATTAATACCAAAGACCACTTATAATACGTAACACTGTTGATCACTTCCTCATTTATAATTCCACAAGTCGCGCGCCATCAAACCGCGACCTTCCTGCCTTCCCATTCAAAACTGTAATAACTGAAAGCAAAACTGCGTTGTTTCATCGGTTAATCATCTAACAGATTAAGCTGCAGATGCAAAACATTTTACTCCAATCTTAACCCTCCATACAAAATGCAGCAAATTCTACCACAAAAAACTGGACATGTCAGCAAATCCATACCAATTCCAACTCGAGCCCCAGACCCGGATTAATTTGTCCCTACAAAAGTGAAAGGGCAAAACAATGGATCGGAAAAAATCTCACCCATTCATCTGCAGTCGAACGAAATGCTCTTCGACTGGCCGGCCTGCTCGCTTGCCGGTATGCCTGAACCGAGCAGTCCACACCATCACTACCAGCGTGCTTGGGCGAATCAATCCTTGACCTCGACCAGCATACTCTGGAGCTCTGAATCCGCGATTCGCAGCGTCGCCCAAGCCTTCCTGCTCGGTTCAAATACCCAAGTGACTGAAACTAAAAAAGGCACACGTCATCGTACAGGGTCATACAAATTATGCGCGTATCTCAAAGACAGTAAGGCACAATAGCACAATCAGAGAATGGCAGCGCCTGGACTGGGATGCACGTTGCAATGATTGAGATGCACGGACATGTGAAAGATTCTGGGCAGGAAGATGATTCTGGGGAGCCGGGCGGTTGGGATGCTGGGAATTCTGGAGTGGTCACCCGAAGAAATTCTCGGCTCAATTGGCTCTTCCGCGAGAAACTTTGGAGATTTAGCAGTACGTGAAAAACCCCACACTC